TTCATACACTATTTTAATGTTTTTAAATGTTTATATATTTTTGAGAGGGAGAAAAAGAGAGCAAGCAGAGGAGGGGCAGAGAGGGAGACAGAATCCGAAGAAGGATCCAGGCCCTGAGCTGTCAGCACAGAGCCTGATACAGGGCTTGAACCCACGAACTGTGAGATTGTGACCTGAGCTAAAGTCAGAAGGTTAACCAACTGAGCCACCCAGGTGCCCCATACACAATCTTATATCCACCTGTTTCATCCAACATTATGTATCTTGTTATTTCCAATGTCATTAAGTACTCTCCATTAAACACATGAATTTACCTACTGAGTCACATGCTCCCCTCCATGTTTAATAGCAATTTTAGGTTATTGTAAGTATGTCCTTGTACAGTTATCTTCCTGTGTATCTGTGATTGTTTCTTGAGGTGGTATTTATAGACCTGTTCTGAGTCACAGCAGTTTTAAGGCTTATAAAAAGATGCTGCCCGTTTCCTGAAATGATGCTCTCACCTCACTCCACCAGCTTAACTGTTTCTTGTCCATCTTTGTGAAGATGGTGGTTGAAAGAATTCTTTGGTGTTTGCTAGTGAAATTCAACGCTTGTTTATGTTAATTGGCCTTTTAGATTTTGGACTGAATAGCCTGTTAATACCTTTTACCTTATACATTTATAAATGATACAAGGTTTATTGCCCTGTTGCAAGTATTTTGGTTTTTTCTTCACCTTTCACTTCAGTTGCTTTTGGACTTACAGGTCGTACATTTTTACGTAAATGTGTTTATATAAACATTTTAATGTAGTCAGATCGATTCCTAGTATGTTATTGCCTTTCGTTACTTTTTTCATTACTTCTTTCTTAAAAAAATTTTTTTTCTAAACATTTATTTATTTTTGAGACACAGAGAGACAAAGCATGAGCTGGGGAGGGGCAGAGAGAGAGAGGGAGACACAGAATCTGAAACAGGCTCCAGGCTCTGAGCTGTCAGCACAGAGACTGGCGTGGGGCTAGAACTCACAAACTGTGAGATCATGACCTGAGCTGAAGTCGGTCACTTAACCGACTGAGCCACCCAGGCGCCCCCCATTACTTCTTTTCTTATCTCCAATTTAGAAGTGTCTCCTAATTGTATTCTTTATCCCCTTCTACATTTAACTCTTTAATCTCCACAAAATTAATTTTGGTGAAGGTTATAAAGTAGGAGCTAATACTAGTTTTTCTAGAATATCCTCTTACTTTCATGTTTGCCCAAAATCCCAGTGAAGCTGCGACGTGAACCAAAACACATGCTTTTTCTTACTTTAGTGCCTTGATCTTCCCAGTGGAAAAGAAAGGGAGGCTGTGTTCTTTACCTGTGGAAGGAAGGAGCCAGGAAGAGGGCCTGGGACTGTCTCCTAGAGCTTTACCCCTCAGCCCAGAACTTGCCCCGTCTCTTTCCAGCTCGGGAGGGTACTCCGCACACGCTGGTGGAGGACCGAGATTGCGGTAACAATGGTCATGGGTCCATGAGTGAGGGACTAGGTAGCCCAGAGTGAGCCCCTCTCAGTCTTGACCCTACTTCAGTTATTCACATCTAAGATAAGTGACCAGGGCTCTGCTTGCCAGAGACTTTACATGAACCTCCGATTATAGATGGAAGGCAGCACACAGTGAAAAAGAGCCCTGACCTAGGAAAGCCAGAAAGCGTGGGTCCAGTTTCGGGTGTCAGTCAACTGTACAGCTTAATAAAGTCTCTTAACTTCTCTAATTTCCTAATAGAATTACAGAGTTGAGGTATATATTCTCTGAGGTTTGTTCTCAATAAATTATGGTCTTGGCGCACAGCAGAGCTAGGTTGTGTTCTGAATCTGTTGGGGGATATTTCTTGGTAACTGATTCATCCTTAATTCAGTCAACCAGTGTGATACCAAAGATCAGTATCCTTGAACAATGTCACTTAATACTCTCCCTTGGAAAATTTGTGCTTTTTACCTTTCCTTACTGTTCCTGAATCTACCTCAGGCTTCCCTTCTGAAAGACATCTGTTTTTCCTAATAATTTATTCTTTTGCCCAGCCACATCTTGTGTTTAAGAGTTAAAGAAAGATGCACTAGTAATCTAGAAGTACCCAGAACTGATTCCTGTCACTGACCTCGCCCTACCACTTGGCTGGAGCTGTGGTACACATTTTGCTAAAAAGTTGAAATACAAATATGAAAACCATTTTGAAAACTGATTCAAGCAATACCTATGAGATACAAATACCTACTCTCAATCATGTTAATTGTTTACTATTGGTATTAATAAATCATTTATTAACATATCAGTAACAGAAATTGCATTGAGAAACAAACAGCCACAGGCCAAACCTTTCAAATTTCAAAATCTTTATATTACCACACTTTCTTTTAGAGAAGCAGTGGTAGTTCTTGTCTAAAAGAGTCATCTATCAATCAGTCCATTGATTTCCAGAGCAAGCGAACATGGTCTTATTTGTGTAGCATAACTTTTTTAGCAGATAAGGTAATTCAGATACTATTTACCAGTGATCTTTTACTAGTTTCAGTGCTGCAGATGAAAATTTCAGTGCCCTGGCTTTTTCCTCCGGAGGATGTATTTGCTGTAAGAAAACACAGTTGACAGCTTGAAATCTGTAGGACTGGATGAATCCAGACAGCTTTCTCCTTTGTGCTCCAGGAACCCAGAACACTATATATTAATAAGTAAAGCCTATGTACTTATACACAGCTGCAGCTGATGATGTGTTGTTCAATTACAATTATTGCCTGATCTTCAAATAACATAGAAAAATAGCCTTTAAAATAAACCTTGAATGGATATGATCTTCACAGAAACTGTTCCTTTACTAATTAAACTTTCCCGTCTCACTGTACATTGCTTTGATCTCATGATATTTTTCCAAATGTCCCGAGGCCTTATTTTCAAGGCTTCCAAACAGATTATTACTTCTCAAAAGCCATACTGTATTCATGGCTCAATGAATCCGAAAGACAGTATTTTTAAAGCCCTGTTAAGTTTATTTTTCTTAGTGTGCTCTTATGCTGCATAATTTTCTTTGCCACGGGTCACATGATCCTTCCCGTCAGTAACACAGGCACTTAAAATTTTTACTTCCTGATTGAGCCATCAAGATTACATAAAATGTAAATCAGTCTAAATGCCCCAAAGCAGGAATTTTAAGGGAAAGATATTTTCTTTCTCTGTTTCTTTATTGATGCTTAAAAAATTAGAGTGAATGTGTTCCTGCCTATCTGTACTTGGAAATGAGAGACGGTTAGGGATTTTGTGTGTGTGTCCCGTCCTTTTCACATTGAATCGGACTTTGCTTTCATTATAAAAATAATGTAGCAACTGGATAGACCGTGGGAGTGGTGTAGTTGCAGGACTGAAATCAAAATGGTTCCCATTACTGAGAGAGCTGTTCATTTGCTTATTACTCTTTTCATGATCTGAGTGAAGGGTACTGCATCTCTCAAAAGGTAACGATCTGATGTTTCAGAATTGTAAATGGCCATTTAGTCTTGCTGCTGTCTGATAGAAATGAAAGTAATTTCCAGAAGGCTGGACGACACTTGTTTTATCATGGATCTTAAAATCCTTCACATTTTCTCACAGCAGTTTTGAAGTTGTCATAGTAACAGCATGACATTTGAAGGGTCTTTTAAGTAGTTCTTTAGCTAGAGTTAATTAATTTTATTAACTATGGATTTTTTCTTTTTTACTTCTCTCTGCCAAACGGGTCATAATTGCTCAAATACGTATTTCGTGTTCTTTATTTCTTGGTGACTACCATTTGAGGACTTGGTGTTTTGTTAAGCTGTTTCAGGAAAAGAACAAGGATGTCACCGGTTGACTCAGGTTAAACTGGGGTTTTAGTTACTCCTCTGTAAAACTGCACTATCACTATGGGACTAGAATTTAGTTTTATTTAAAGAGGTGGATTATGGGAGACATTCCCCCAGATTTAATGGTGATTTGCTCTAGGGATTACAGCTGTCCTTTGGTTCGATTTGGATGCATCTAAAATAAAATTGAGGAACACAGAAGGGGGAATGTGTCAGACATACAGGAGAAAATTATTTCTTTAAAAATGCAATACTCAGATACACCACCAGAAGCATATTCCACAAAAGGAAAAAAGAAAGGGATAATCCGACTTTGTCAAAATTAAAAACGCAGTAATACTCTTCGGAACTCTGAAATTGACTCAAATAAAGTATCCTCTAGGAAATAGTCTGTGGGAACCTTCTATCAGGAGAAAGTAGGTCATGATCTTCTATTCGTAAAGCTCTGTGGCAGAAATCCTTGCCATTGTGGTGACTGGCGAGAAAGGGGTAGGCGGAGGGTCAGAAGACAAAACGATCCGTACTAGGTGTGGAAGCTGGGACCTAAGAGAGTTAGCTGGTGGTCGATGCTTTTGTTTTCTTGTAAAAGTGACCAGAGCGGTGAACACAGAAGGTATCATGTGAGCTCTGGGGGTTTAACACTGAGGCCGGGATCCTTCCTGTCCTGGGGAGTATTTGTTCAAGCAGGGGCGACTGGAGATCACAGCATGTGCCCCCGACAGCAATGAAGGTGCTAATGCACGTCCAGTGATGTCAGGAGTTACGAGCCAGTGGTTTCAAAACGCTGCAGTAAACAAGGTCAAAGTGTCCCAGTTTTGCTGGAAGAAGGTTTGTTTTTATGAGCTGGACAGTACGTGGATGAAGTAATTTTTCAAAACAAACCAAATTTATATGCTTTTTGTTTGTTTGTTTTACTTTTTGGGTTTTAAAAAATTAACCAGATGAGGTCTAGTAAGGGTTACATTTTTAAACAACATGACACTTTTTCCCTTTTTAAAAAAAATGGTTTTCTATGGTTTTTACAGAGGAAATGAAAATAACCCCAATCTAGGATTTTTAAATGCAGTTTTAGAGAACAAGCTATGACCCAGCGTACAGCGCCCGCCAATCACAATCACTAGTAAAATATTCCTGGTAATTTTGTGCCTTCTGCTCTTCTCTAGACAGGCATTTAAGTACCAGAAAGTTAATGGCACGGAATACTGCTGACTGCGTGGTTCTCGTCTTAATGCATTTTCCAACCTTGAACCTGAGAATACCAGAGGCTGGAGACTCTGGACACTCGTCGGCACAGCTTTCTGCTGGTGGCCTGGTTCCTGAGGTAACAAGTGGGTGTCCTGGGCGTGTGTGTGCTAACAACAGCAGCGATGCCACGTGGTGCCCAGAGGTCGCCGCGATCTGTCCTGGGGGTTCCTGGTCCCCGGGGCTTTTGAGATTGAACTGTGAACTTGGGGCATCCCGAGAAGTGCAGGCGTTTTGGAGTGTTCCACAGCAGATCTGGATGTCGGCATAAACACAGCTTTCAAAGTGAAAGCAGGGGCCTCGAGGAAGGAATTACCCTCATCTCATCCCCGAACTGCCTACTGTGCTGGAAAACAAAGTAAGTTTTGTTTGTTTCTTTGTTAGTCAGTCGCTCCTACATGTTTTCTCTTGCTAACATTATATTAGACACTCTGTATGTGGCAAACGCCAAGTTTTCCCCCTCCCCCCCCCCCCGCCATTGGGAAGTAGGATATAAAGTTTGTTAGATAGCCACTTGCTTTTTAAATCTTTTCTGTCTCTCTTCGTATGTCTAGTGTGCTGGCTTCCTTGCTGGAGATAGCAAGAGATTGAAATTTATTATCAATGAGAAAACAAAACGTTGTTGTTGTTGTTTTTTTAAACAGTCCAAGAACCTTGCCGTTAATTAAAGGACAACGACACAGGCAAAGCTTTCTTTACATAGTGCAGCCAGCGGCACATCTAGCAAAACAGCCCCAGTTCACTGTCCTTATTTCCACTGGGAAGCAGAAAGGGTGCCTGTATGGGACTTAGGTGAAAGCAGAGTGTCTCCCTGTAGGAACTGCAGACACTGGCTGGGAGCAGGGCCTGAACAAGAGGCTGTAACTTAAAAACCTGTTGGGAAATGGAAAGGGGCTGAAGAAGATAAATTATTTGGTGATGTTGAAAAAAACCCCCACAGTCTTTCTATAAGAATGGGATAAAATGTACAAAGACCTAAACTTGTCAAAGAAACTGATGTTTTCCTTCATGTTAGAAAGGTTCATGTCATGTGGATTTATAGAAAAGGTGTGGCTTTCAGAAATTAAGAGACATCACCACCTGTGTGGGAGATTTTAGGACACCAGCCTCATTCTGACACTTGACCCCTGTCTTCCATTTCTGTTTGTTTGTGTTTTATCTGATCCTAGCTCCAGGGCTGTGGCATGGCTCGATAAATTAATACAATGCTCTGTGGTTTTGAAAATGAAGAACAAATGGAAATGTAGAATAGTTTGTGATTTGTAATTAGATTACCCCTCCTCATAAAATGGACTGTTTTTCCCCGTAGAGTTTTCTGGACTTCTCTCAACTCCAACAGTAACGCTTTGAAGGTAGAAGGAGGCCGTGTAACCATGTTGTGTCCTTGGGAGAGTGGAAATCAGGAGTCTGATTTCTCAGTCTAGCATGGGATGCTGTGTGGATCTAAGTTAGGGCTCCTGTACCATGGGAATTCACATTTACTCTCAACGTGGTGGTGGGTAGGACGTGGGGTGTCTGTTTTTCATTTAAAACACTCGGGGCTCCTTATATGAATGTCTACGGATTATTCAGCAAACTTCCTTTAAACACCTTTTTGTAGAATGCTATACTCGGAGCTGTAGTTTGTCACAATTAAACTTACTGAGATTTGGTTTGTAAATTAAAGATTGAGAACAGTTTGAAACAAGGGTGAATGAGCAGAGCATTACCCTCGAAATGGTTTGTTAAAGTTAGTGCCAAGTGAGCCGGGCCGTCCGCCTCTGAGCTGCCCTCCTAATTAAAGGCGAAGGTGCCTGCCATCTGTCTTCTTTCATTCAGGGCAGTAGGGGGCCTGTGGTGGAAGGAAGCCACCCCCCTTTTAGTTTTTTCTCCCACTCTTTTTAATAGTCTGCTTTCTCCCTAGGCAGTGACCCAGAAGGTCATTGATGATCTGTCTATCTCAGACTGAATAGTAACATAAGCATGCAAGGCACTTGCAAAAAAAAAAAAAAAAAAAAGTTTATAACGTGTGCTTATCCATTATCCATTTAGAATTCTGCTTGAATTGTCTGGGAGTGTTGTAATTTCTGGGTCTGTGTCTTTGCTCCTGTTACTGAGGGCACTCCTGGCAGAAAAGTAGGGATTTTTATTAGTTTTACTGATTCTGCTTTTTTCGTGAAAAAACTTTTTACACTTCACTGGACGTAATCAGAAGATGGCAGCATTGTGACTATCCGGCGGGGATGTACAGAAATACTGTTCTTAGCAGAATCAGGGCTACCTGTTGCCCCTGTATACACATGTCATCCCAAGGGAGGTTGTGGACGAGGGTGTTGACACATTTCTGTGGTACTGAGTGGTCTGCTAAGGCTTACTGGGCCAGTCATTGAAATAATTCACCGTATTTATCCTTTAGTTAGGCAGTGAGCCTTTTAGCCCCTTTCTCATGAGAATAGATTACTGGAGAATTTGGTTTGGGGTCATGGCTTTTAATTGCTTTTGAAATGTAGGGGCTCTAAACAAATGATTGAGCTTTCTTGCCTCAGTTTCCACCTGGAAGAAATATGTGCTGCTTTCAGAAATAGTTAAGAGAATATGAAATAACATTTTGTCTTCGATAAAAACTTTAATATAACTGAAAAATTCTAAAATCTGCAGTGGTTTCTGGTTTCCGTTCTTATGTACTTAAGCAGAGTGTCAACTGTTATTTAAAAAGATTCAGTCCTGACACACTCTGTTTAGCTGCCCAGGCAGTAGATTTGGGCTTCCCAGAATATGCTGGTTTTTAGAACTTTCTGTGACAAGGAACTGTGGTGTCTCTTAAGCCCTCAATGTTTGGAAAGCCCAAATATGAGAGTCATGTCTGTAATTTTATTTAAAGGTTTTTTTCCCCACATTTGTCATCAACTTATAATGAGTTTTCTCGTCGATGTACTTCTGTTGTTGAGTCTGGGAAGAGCAACATGTACGTTCTGCAGACAGTGACCTCAGTCTGCATGATTGGATGATCATGAAAAGTAGACCATTTCCCAGTTGCTGACGGGTACACAGAGCCAAAGAGGCAGGTCTTTTCATCTTTTTTATGTCACAATTTTAGATACTCAGCAAGGTACTTCGCTAACTGTCGTCTCTAAGGTGTGATTGAAAACCAATTTGGTTTTAACCCATCTTGTGTTTATTTCAGGGGATCTAAGTTAAACAAATTAAATGAATCACACCTATAAACTGACTTTGAAGTAACATGATTAATATTTTAACGCACTAGCAGAAGACACACAGACATGCAAATGAATGTTGCCTCCCTAAAGTTCGTGTCAGCTGGGAAGAATTTAAGCCTCTACTACAGTGATGCCGTCTTTGCCAGAGACACACTTAGAATGTTTTGTTTGCTATTGCCTTAAGGGCCTTCCCTCCTTTTTTTTTTTTTTATTACCCACTGTGGCAGAAATTCTCTGTCCTTTGAGGATAGTAAGGAGACAGTAATTAGGTCTGATGAACAGACTTAAGATCACATAACTGACTTGTGTCATTGATTCATGTAAACCTTTACTGAGGCACCTACTGCATTCTGCAGAGTCAGAAATGGGTGCACCACGGACCTGGCCCTCCAGGAAGACACAGTTGGGTGGAATAAGTGATGTATAAGGAGGTAACACTACTTACTGACAAGGACTGTAACAGAGGCACACGTGGCATTGCGAGGACCCACAGAGGGGGTTAAAATCAGGTTTGGTGGAAAAATGAGAATTGTACAAATGACTTATAAAGGACATTACATAATAGGATTTTGGAAATGAAAGCCCTGGGGGAAAAAACTTTTCTATTTTAAGGATGACGAGCTTGGAATTTATTTCTGAAATAACTTCTCAGCCATTTGAAAGCCTTTTGAGAAAAAGTGTTTCATTCTGTAGCAAGCCTATTTTTTTTTAAACCAGAAGATGTTGTGGCTATATAAAAGGGGAGGTCTAAAAGGTTTTTTGGACATGGTAAGAATAATTCTGTTATTCTCCAAAGGAGACTGTTTTGAAGAATGGTTCTTATTTACATGTTAAAATCGGGTGCTTCTGAAATACTCAAGATACTGTGGATGAGCCATGGTTACTGCCGAGATGAGCTGTACAGCTTGTAGGAGACATGAAGCTTGCAGCATCTGTAAGTGTATCGTGGGAGAGAAGAGGCTTCCTCACGTCCTGTCTCATTTTTCCTGCCATGGGGACAGAATTTCTGTCCTGTATCCAAGAGTAGAGCTTCCTGTGGATAAGTTCATTTAACAGTTACTTAATGAAGTGTCACTCTATGCCGGGCACAGTTCTGGAAGCTGATCAGAAGCTGAGCTGATAAGCTATAGGCCCTGGATTCTGGTGCTACCCAGGAGGACTCTGTAGGGCTGTACATATAGCCACCACTTCCTGGGTGCTTTTCTGAACATGGCAGTGTGGGCATCGCCGTAAGGCTGCCCTCATAGAGCTCAGAGTAAGATTTTGTGCACAGGTGACAGAATGAACAGAGAGCGAGAGATAAATGCATGAATATAGAGAGCTAACTAAACATGCCCCGCGTTTACAGAAAAGAAAGCTGGTCTGTGGCCAGGATGATCAAGAAAGGATTTATGGATTAAGGAGCATTTGAGCTGGACATTTGAAGAAGACTCAGAGGGAGCGTGTCCCAGTCCAAGGAAAGCCAAGCAAAGGCAGAGAGAGCATTGGGAAATTCCAGTGTACCCAGTAAGCAGTAACTGATTTGTTGTTGCCAAGCAACCGTGTGTGTAAAAGTGACTAATGAGAAGATAAGACAGCCAAGGTCCCTTGAGGCCAGATCTGGGAGGACCGTGTATGTCCAACAACGAAATGCTTTAAACTTAATCCTAAGCCACCGGGGAGCAGTAGCAGTGTTCTGGTCAGGAGAGTAACAGTGGGATCTCTCCTGGAGGAAGCCTTGTCTGATGTCAATGTGGGCGGGTGGGCAGGGTGACGGTTGGCCAGTGAGAGAATACGAGCAGAAGCCATGTGAGCTGGTGAGACAGTCCAGGACAGAGGGGGAGGGTCCAGATGAGGGGGGACAACTGGAATGGAGTAAACTAGACAGGTTCAAGAGGTGGGCTTTACCTGGGTAACAGAGATTAGCTGGTGGGGAGGGTGGAAGCAGAATAACTCCAGATTGTAGAACTCAGGCTCTGTTTCTTACTTCTCTGCCATTCACCAGGCATTTCACATAGATCATCTCATTCAGTTGTACCCTAATTCTATAAGGTTGGTATTTCTGTCCTTATTTCAGAGATGTAGAAAACCAAGGCTCAGAGAAAGATCTGTCTAAAGTTGTACAGAAGCTAATAGGGTATAGAACAGGGAATCACAGGCGACCCTGATTTCCACGCCTGGT